TCACATCTGCATTTGAAAACAACAATAGATGGAAACAAATTAATAAACAAGAATAATTCAGATCCTTGTATGGAAAGGAACATACAGCAGAAGCTCCACAAGTCGTATACAGACACCTGCCTCGACGACAGCCTGAATTTTATCGTTTGTTCCATCAGAAAGATATGAAAGCGCCCAGCAAGCATCAGTCAAAACCTCTTCATCATTCAAATGGATTAGTTGCCGAAGAACTGGCAATGCAGGTTTCACCTAACCAAATGTCCCAGAAGCAACAAAATGGTAATTATCTGATATTACGATTACATGGATTTCTAAATATAGTGTATTTAGCATTATAAAGGCTACATTGCTAAATAATTAAAGGCAGCATATCATATTTTATGAGAATATCACACCTGCTCAAAAGGTGTTGGTGGCTTCCCACGACAGAAATTAGACAAGGTCCATGTAGCATTTCTGAGCATGGAGAGCTTTGAATTATCATTCAACTGAGCCAGCAATGGCATAAGTGCACCGTGCCCGAGGACAAGATCCCTACAACTTGGAGAATCACCAGCTACATTACCTAAAGCCCAGACTGCCTGCTTAACAGAAAGCAGTTAACCCATAACACTGGCAGCAACAAACAACTACTAAGGAACAACAGCAATGATAAGTTCAGGTGTTCTATTTATTTGGAACTTCAAGCATTTAACACAGACACCATGATACATTAGAAGGATTCTAGGAATTGCAATACCACAAAAGGGGACCAAGAAGCTACCTGTTCACGGACATCATCACTGGCAGAACTAAGAAGTTGCACAAATTTAGGAACAGCACCATGTTCAATGACAATTCGAGTATGTTCTGATGTCCCAGATGCAACATTTGTCAGAGCCCATGCGGCTTCGAACTACAAAGAAGAAGATGAGGGCTTACGATTAGTCTATACAAGAGATACTGTAGAAAATATGAAAAGAAAAATCCACATGTAGAACTAACTTGCAGTTGAGGCACATCATGCCTTCCAAGAAACTCCACAAACCGAGGAACTACACCAGCTTTAATCACCTCATCAATTGGAGGGCTTCGCTCTAAATCATGGAGGTTCCAGAGAAAATTTCATTAAGGGGTATATCCCAGAATTACAGGAAATGCTAAGCTTTTGGAAACAATAATACCGATAGATAGAAGTTTTCTAAATTGAGTAGTTGCATCCACTTGAGCGCTAGGATCATTGGACCACACTCCTTGTACCATCAACGGAATACTTTCTAGCTGTCAAAACCAGAAAGAGAAGTAGAAATTCATGATACTTACTCTACAGCATAAGAGGAGACAGTACAAAAATCTAGCAAGTGACAAAATTCATGCATTAACCCAGATAGTTCTGTTGGTTGATAATAAGGGTTCGAACATGAAAGTCACTAAGAAGATACCATCTATTGCTACAATTAAAAACCGAATCCAAGCAGCTGATACATATTATGGGAATGTTAAAATATATGGTGCAATATTTCAATTAAAATTTAAGAACCTAAATCCAAGCAGTAGAGTGAATTTACTAGCTTGGCATTCATATTCGCCTTAGATTAACATGCAGCTTGAAGCACGTATGGACCTGATTAGGATAAAATATCCACCTTTCGGGATAAAATTGTCAGAGTCAATCCAATAAACATATGCCACCGATAACTCTACTGTAAGCACTTCAAGATCTGACACGAAAAATAGGATACATGTTGGAGATCAAAATTCAGTACCAGCTCGTATGAGGAATAAGATCCAATTTTTGGACCAAAAAAAGGAAAGATCTAGAGTGAATTTAATCAAATGACCACAGGGACACAGAGATAAAAGTCAATAACCATATCAATGATAAATATTAATAGCATTTTCATTTTGCACATAGCAGATCACCTTATTATTGCTCTTCCAACTGATCATATTAATCTTTGAATGCCCCCAACAGATCAGGTTAATCCTATTTCCAATAATAGCCTCAATGTTGGGAGCATTGTTGAACAAAAAATTGTGCCACCAATATAAAGTATACAATTGGAACATGGTCAAAACTAATAAAACTTCAATTATCCATATCAAAATTTCATGGAGATACCAGCAGTGCATTAGCTATTGAAAAAGACTTAAAAATAATTGTCAATAATTTAAACCTTAACCAAGCACATGGAATTCATTATTCAAAATAGAAAGATCAAATTTTACAGTAGAAAAGTATAAAACCTAACTGTTAATGAAAATCATGCCTTGACCATAATACCACCAAAATCAAGTTTTGAAAGAGTAACCCCATTAAGATAAAGTAACTATAACTCACATTTGACTCGCTGTAATTTTCCCTAATAAAACTCTTCCCGCCAAATCTGGCCACTCACCTCCCATGTGATAACTGTGATTTTAGGAAATGGAGGTAATGCACACTAAATTTTTTTTGCTTGTTAAAAAACCAATTAAATTTAAGCATTTAGGCAATTAAATAGTCTAACTATCTAGTAAAAGCCATAACTATCTCAGAGATCAAACAGTTAAAGCATATATACACACTGATAGTTCAAATCTCTGACTATCTGCTCAAGAAAAGGGAAGGAAAAACTTACCCTTTTCCAACATTATAACCAAAAAACATCTTAATCCAAAACAAGACGTGCCTATTGAAAATCAAAAAAGAAGGCACTTCATTTAGATATCCCTAAAAGTATAGATCGTACTTCTGTTCTCCAAAAATCCTTACATCTAACTCTACCTACTAAAAACTTCGAATTACAGTTAAAAAAAATATATATGTATATCCATGAAATAAAACCCTTTTACCTCATTCAATTGATCTCACACAGCCCAACTTCACAAAATCTAAAATTGAAATCAAAAACCATTTCACCACCAACTCTATGTCCCATTTCACTTATAAAATCCAATACAGATCACTAAATAGCAACGCAGAATATCATAAATTAATTACTATAACCATCGAAATACTAAGTAAAAGCGGTAGTGGTATACCACTATTACCTTTTTCTCCACAACAGCAGGGGATTGGGAGGGATCGAGAGGGAACTGTTGCTGTAGTTGCTGAAAGTTGTTGTTCAATAGTCCCTCTCTGCGCTTCTTGAGAAGATTGTCCTCACGTTTGTTCTTCCTGATCTCAACCATGTTGTCCTCTCTCCTCCGGCGCGCCTCCTCCGCATCCACCCCGATTTTATACCCCTTCTTCCGCACATCCGCCCTGTTGTTCGGCCGCAGCGACATTTTCGCAAAACCCAACTCCGATTTCACTCCCCTTAATCACTGTTTCCTGGGTTTGCGCAATCTGTTTGATGAATTGTCGCACATAGAGTGATGAAGAAATTAAAGTGAAAACAGGGAGATCGTGAGACGGGGATTGCGGGGTTGGGGTTGACGAATAATATTGATGTCGTTTGTGTGGGGTCGAGGGGGCCGACCGGGCCTGTCAATGGGCTGGATCTGGGTCCGGCTTCGTCCATCCAATCAAATTTACGGACCTCGTAACCTCGGACCAATAGAACTATCATGGAGACATGGACCATGTTTGGTTAAGTTCCTCATTTTGTTAACTTCAGCAATGGTCACTCTACTTCTATCCGAAGTTCAATTAGATCCCTGTACTCTAATTTGTGTCAATTAATCATCATATTTAATTTACTTTGTGTAATTCGAGTGTTAGAGCATGTTTGAGGGGCATTCTTCCTCCAAAAAAAGAAAAATTCCTATCGTTGGAGTACGGACACATGTTGCCCATTGTGAGAGAAAGTCAACAAAAGCTGCGATCTGCTGCCCTCCAACAGTACAATTATTCATTAAAATGTGGCAAAAAATGTAGCCCATACAGGCTCATATTGTTGAAACTTAAAAATATGCCATGTAGGGACCTAGTTATTACAAATTGAAAAGTAGTAATCTGATTGAAATTTAAGTGAAATTACATAAAGAGACATGAAATTAAATTAAACTCTCTATATGTAATTTAGGCTCCGTTTGTTTCTCATTTATGTAAAAATGAGAATGAAAAACATAACAGTTACGGACCCCACACAAGATATATAAATTCAAATATGATGGTTTGATGTGAGGAATAATGGTCATATTTTTCATTTTAATGGAAAAATAATAAGAAACAAACAAAGGCTTAGAATTAATATAATTTAACAATATGTACCAACACATATTAAGACATTAAATTTTAACTAAGCATATGTTCGACAAGTATCAAAAGTTAACTCACTTTTTATCACATATTTTGTGAGACGTTGGAATATTACCCATTTAACGATCATTTATATCTGTTTATGAACACTTGTCAAATACACACTAAAGATTAAGAGAATGATGAGATTTGTTAGCAGGGATAACAAGAAGGTTGGAGCATCCCTCTCTGCTTCCATATGGATTTTCTAAAGGTGAGACAAAATGAAAATTAAAATATCTTCATTTTACATGACATTTATTAATTTAATATTAATTTTTTGGTATGATTTTGTTATTCAAAATCGTTTGAATAGGGATCGATTTGTAAAAACAGAAAATTAAAGATTGCAGAAATTAAAAAAAGGAACACGAGACAACAAGATATGTTTTTGCCCTAGAATAGGGCACGGATGTTCAGTTGTTAGACTTAGTCACCCGTTGAGCATTTACCATGAAATTGTGCTCAAAATCCACAAGAATTAGTACAAATGTTCGAAGAAATCAACGATTTCTTCGATATTTTTCTAGCCTCTCTTTTTACAAGATCTGTAATCTACACACGTTACAATCTCAAAGATTACACTAAGTACTCACTGATTCACAAAGAAAATGAGATTGAACTTCACAAAGAACAATTACAAAACTATGCAAGAAAACCCTAGCACTCAGAAGACGAAGAAGAAAGACCCCAGAATTCTCACTCACAGTGAGTCAAAGAAAAGTCGTGACCAAGTATTTAAAGTACCAATCCAAAGGTCATAATCCAAGGGTCAAGATGAAGCCACGTCGACGACAGATATTAACCCTTAAAGAGAGGCATAAAGTGCTATTTCAAGAAACCCGATTTTACTAAATCTTGCATTTTATCAAAAAACACAGAACCGGCCCAACAGGACAGGTCCAACTGGCCAAGAATAATAGTGAGGCAGCCCAAACTTTAACAACCTCCACCTTGCTAAACTAATTCTTGGCCTCTCTTAGATTGGATCTAGAGTTATCTCATGATTTTATTTGCTCTCACAACCTGTAAAAAGAAAAAGATTAAGTCAGTGCAATTCTACAATTAATAATGCTTAGATTTAAAATATCACTTCTTCAAGTGATATTCAAAATCTTCAAGCAGTTCTTGAATTTACTTAAAGGCAATATCTTAGGTCCCAAATCAGAAGAATTGAATTCTATGGGAATTTTGACCAATTTGATTTGACCTTTTTCAACGAGATTTCGTACAAAATGAAATTTTATATCTATATGTTTGGTCCTATCATGATATACTGGATTTTTACTAAGGTGAATTGTACTTTGATTGTCTGTGTAAACAACGACAGAATCATTTTGAAAACCAATTTCATTTAATAGACCCTTTAATCAAATACTTTCTTTTACTGCATCACAGGCAGCAATATATTCAGCTTCAATCGAGGACAATGCAACTAATTTTTGAAGCTGAGACTTCCAGCTAATGCAATCATCACACAAAGTAAAGATGTAAGCAGAACCAGACCTTCTTTAATCTAAGTCACCAGCAAAGTCAGAGTCTGTGTACCCCTTTAATATTATCCCCTCGTTACTTCTTTTAAACATTAAACCTAAATCACATGAGCCTTTTAAGTATTTCAACATCCACTTCATTGCAAGCTAATGAGTTTCACCAGAATTTGCCATAAATCAACTCAAAATACTAATACAATGGGCTAAGTGAGGTCTGGTATAGACCATTAGATACATTATGGAACCTACTGCATTAGCATATGGCACCTTTTTCATTGTTTTAAATTCATCATCAGCTTTAGGTGATTGATCACTGAACAATTTAAAATGATTTGCAACGGGAAGTGACACAGGTTTACATTCAAGCATAAACAACCTTTTAAGAATCTTTTTTCACATAGCAGCCTTGTTTTAACATTAATATGCAATTATTTCTATCCATTTTTATCTCCATTCCTAAAATGCTCCTAGCTTGTCCTAAATCTTTCATTTCAAATTCAGATTTTAACTTTACTTTAACAAAGTCAACTTCAGTTCTATCATGACAAGCAAGTAACATGTCATTTACATATAATAGGAGATAAATGGATTCAGGCCCACCCGAACCTTCATAGAAGAGACAGGAATCATAATTGCTTTTCATAAAACCTAAAGTCTGTACAAAAAAATTAAATTTCAAATACCATTGTCTGGGGGTTTGTTTAAGTCCATATCAAGACTTTTTCAGCAAACAAACCTTATTTGTTTCAGATTTGATCTCAAATCCCAAAGGTTGATTCGTATATATTATTTCATCAAGGTCACCATTTAAAAAAGCTGTTTTGACATCAAGTTGATCTAACTCCCGGTTAAAATGAGCTGTTAAAGCTAGCAAAATTCTAATTGAGGTGTACTTAGCAACTGGTGAAAAGATTTCATTATAGTTCACTCCTTCCTTTTGAGTAAAGCTTTTGGCTACCAGCCTGGCTTTATATCTCTTATCTTCTGGATTTGTGTCTCCTTTTTTTTATTTTAAAGATCCACTTACAGTGAACTACTCTTTGATGCTTATGTCTATTAACCAAGGTCCAAGTTTTATTTTTAATAAGGGAATCCATTTCCTCTTTCATAGCTTGTTTTCAAGGTTTTGAATCAGGACCTTTAATTGTTTCTTCAAATGTAGTAGGTTCAGAATTTAAAGAGTCCAAAACAGAAAATAAGGTAACAAATTCTTCATTGTTAAACCTAGTAGAAGGTATAATATTCCTTCTTTCTCTATCTCTAGTAAGTTGATAATCATCAAGAATAGGATCTGCCGATTCAATTTCATTTTCAGGGTCAGTTGGTTCTTGGTATGTTTCAGATTGTGTGGACTCCACCTCAATAAAATCATCTTGATTTTCAGCATTTTCAGTTTGTGTTTCCAGGATGGTTTCTTTGGAAGATACAGATTCAGGAGCATTTGTGTTCACAGATTTATAACAAGGCATTTCATTTTCATTAAAAATGACATATCTACTTACTATAATGTTAAAACCATCTTGGCTTTTGACCCAGAGTCTATACCTTTTGGTTTCCTGTCCATAACTCAAAAAAACTCATTTTTGGGATCTAGGTTCAAGCTTGCCTTCACTCTAATGAGAAAAGGCATCACATCCAAACACTTTCAATTTATTGTAATCAAGTGTTCTTCCAGACCATAGTGTTTCAGGAACCTAAAAATCAATAGCACTAGATGGACTTCTGTTAATCAAATAAGTTGCAATTTTTAGGGCTTCACCCCAAAAGAAATTTAGGAGACCAGAACTGTATATCATACGTCTGACTTTTTCTAACAAAATCCTATTCATCCTCTTAGCAACACCATTTTGCTGAGGGGTGTATGTTACAGTTCCGTGTCTCAATATTCCAAATTCTTTACAAAAAAGGTTAAATTCAGAATTACAAAATTCGAGTCCATTATTAATTCTTAGTGCTTTGATTTTCTTGTTAGTTTGATTTTCAATCAGATTTTTCCACTGTTTAAAAGTGTGAAAGGTATCTGACTTGTGTTTTAAAAGAAATGTCCAAATTTTCCTTGAAAAATCAGCTACTATAAGCAGATAGAACCTAAACCCACCTAAGGTACTTACAAATGCTGGACCCCATAGGTCAGCATGCAAGTAATCTAGGATATGAGTAGATTTATTGGTTCCAGTTTTGAAAGGTAGTTTTTTCTGTTTACCAATCAAACAATTTTCACAAAAGTCTAAACCTTCAATGTTGTCATTCCCAAAACACCTAAGTTTATTCATAATTATAAGACCTTTATCTGATATATGGCCAAGTCTTTTATGTCATATCAAGGCCTTGTTTGGGTCTGGTTTTAAAGCAGCAGTACAGTGGTTTTTCACAGGTTCAGCAGAGACAGTATATATGCCATTTATCTTATGAGAGGATATAACATTCTTGCTTCCTTGATTTATTGTAATAAGTCCCTTAGTAATCAGTATATTATATTTTTCATCTAGTTCTCCCAAGGAGATAAGATTCATCTTAAGTTCAGGGAAATATCTAGTATTTTCCAGCTCAAGAATATAGTTGTTATCTTATAACAATCTCACTTTACCAATTTCATGTATTTGACAACACATGTCATTTCTCATCTGAATTTGCCCTCCACTAAGGTCAACAAACTCAAAAAAACATTCCTTAGCAGAACACCTGTGGAAAGTGCATCCAGAATCAAGAACCCAAACTTTAGGATTTCTACTGGTTGCACTGACAAGAACAACACCCTGGACATCATGATTAGGTTTGCAGGCCACAGCTGCAGAGCCATCAGTGTTGTTCCTATCCTTCATATAAGAAATTTTCTTAAAACAATCTTTAATTAGATGTTCAGTTTTTCCACAATAATAACATTTCCTGTTTTGGTTCTTGGATTTGGCAAAGTTCTTGTTTTTATCTTTGGGTTTGTTGTATTGAGACTTTCCTCTCTTATAAGAATTGAAGTTGCACTGATTTTGTTTTTTCTTTTGATTTGGTTTTTCTTTTACATGTAAACCCTCTCCAATCTTGAAATCTTTTGACTCTAATTTTAATTCAAGTTCTTTATTTTTGAGGGCTGAAGTTATTATGTCTATGGTAAGCTCATGCCTCCCATATTTTAGAGCATTTCTGATATCTCTATACCTTTCACTTAGAGAATTTAATAAGGCAACAACTTGTTGGTCATCAGATAACTCTTCATCACAGTTCTCTAAGTCTTGAATCAATTTAGTAAATTTGTCCAGATTTTCTTCTAGCCCAGAAGTGGGATCAAATCTAAAGTCATAAAACTGCCTTAAGAGGTAGCATTTGTTAGGCATGGATTTAGTTAGATACATTGTTCCTAACTTAGTCCATAAAACTTCAGCAGAGGTAGTTTCTCCTACTTTCCTAATCACATTATTAGAAAGGTGAAGAAAAATGGTACTCTAGGCAGTATCATCCAATTCTTGTCTCCTATAAGCACTTGTCTCTGCAGCCCAAGTTCCATCAAGGGCTGCAGCACATCTCTGCTGTAATAGCAGGGCCCTCATCTTCTTGGGCGAGAGATTAAAATCTTCAGTGCCATTCCATAGCTCAATTTCAAATTTATGTGTAGTAGTAGACATGATGACCAAACACAAGGCAACATTTCGAAATTGGACAGAACAGCAAGTACAATTGATTCAAGAAAGATATTAAAGTAACAGGCAGGTAATTGTTAAAAATGCAATAGAAATTACTTTTGTAGATACTTAGCATACAATTCACATGACTATTTTTATCAATTTTGAAAAAAGTTTAAGGGGGTGGTAACTCTTTTATTCCACTGCTCCCTCAGATATCCAGACCTTCAACGAGGTCTTGGACAAAGGAAAGCAGAGGAGGGTAACTTACCTTAACAACAAATTCCAAAACTTAAACAAGAACAATATCAATTTAAAGAGATGGGTTGCAGAGATATACTAGAGTCTAAAATTTTAAAAAATTTCAAAAATAATTGCAGGGAAGAACCAAGATATGAGCAAAAATTAGAGTGCAGGTGTAAATGCCAATCAATCAACGATAACTCAGTATGAACTCAACAGGAATTGGAACGAGTCAACACAGCTCGCCAAACTCAGTACGAGTTGTTGTACTCGATAAGATTCAGTAACGAGCCAGCTTAACAATCATTTGAACTCAGCACAAAGAAGATTAGATGTGGGTTTAAACGAGTTGTAAGAAATATCTCAACAATCATTAAAGATTTCAAGAAATGCAGCAGATCTAGATCACAGATCAAAAAATACGTTTAACGATCCAACAAAATAAGGATCTGGGGCAAAACACAAAATACCCCGCTTTTCAAAGAACAATCGTTTGTCTCAAGTTTTTACAGATCTGAAATATTTTGTATAATAAAAAAAACTTCGGGTTTTAAAAGGGTTCGAACAAACATATCCAAAAAAAAATAAAATCAGAAAAAGTGGCTTTGATACCACTTGTTATTCAAAACCGTTTGAATAGGGATCGATTTGTAAAAACAGAAAATTAAAGATTGCAGAAATTAAAAAAAAAAGGAACACGAGACAACACGATATGTTTTTGCCCTAGAATAGGGCACGGATGTTCAGTCGTTAGACTTAGTCATCCGTTGAGCATCTACCACGAGATTGTGCTCAAGATCCACTAATATCAACCAAAGAATTAGTACAAATGTTCGAAAAAATCAACGATCTCTTCGATATTTTTCTAGCCTCTCTTTTTACAAGATCTGTAATCTACACACGTTACAATCTCAAAGATTGTACTAAGCAATCACTGATTCACAAAGAAAAGGAGATTGAAATTCACAAAGAACAATTACAGAACTATGCAAGAAAACCTTAGCACTCAAAGGACGAAGAAGAAAGACCCCAGAAATCTCACTCACAGCGAGTTAAAGAAAAGTCATGACCAAGTATTTAAGGTACCAGTCCAAAGGTCATAATCCAAGGGTCAATATGAAGTCACGTCGACGACATATATTAACCTTTAAAGAGAGGCATAAAGTGCCATTTCAAGAAATCGGATTTTACTAAATCTTGCATTTTATCAAAAAACACAGAACCGGCCCAATTGGACAGGTCCAATCGGCCAAGAATAATAGTGAGGCAACCCAAACTTTAACAGATTTTAAGCATAAGATTAAAAAAGGAAAAAAAAAAAAGTCAGAATGGGGTGGGGACATGACACTTTGCCTTCTATGCAGGTTTAAAAAAATGGATTTAGAATAAATTATGTGAAAAGAATTTATTTATTTATTTATGTGAATGTGTGATTAAAAAATAAAAAGTTGTTATGAATATTGTTGTTGAGAATATATTTGGCTGAAAATAAATTTGACCAATTAGAAAATGGGGGCAGGGTTTAATTTCACAAGGGACCTTAACCCTAAACACCGGTGACTACATTCAAAGATTTCATAAATCTAACTTCTTGATTGCATATTTCACAGAGACTGATTGCACACAGTCTTACGATAGACAGCAAAAGAATATTAAAAAACGTGCGGGAAGTTGAATAATTATGCATATTCTTCGAAGAAATTTATTTCGGAGAATCCCTTCCAAGTTCTTCAATCAAGTTCGTAATTTACCCCCGTTTCTATTCATTTCAAGCTTAAAAAGTCTATTTTTAACGATTACTGGGTGTCGATATATAATATGATTATCTGATTGATGCCGCAATAAGTATTTTGTGGATATTTATTGCATAGTGGTATAAATTGTTTTTCTTAATACAGAAATCCAATAATCGAAACTGAATTTGGTTTATAAATAAGCATTTTGAGCTGTTTCACTGCATATGTGGAAGCTTTACTTTAGAATGTCCGCAGAAGATGATGAATTTTGTTTCCCATTTTTCAAGTATGAATTTATTTACTGCTCTTTGTGAAAAGCACTTGGAATTATGCCATATAAATTTCAGTATTGCTCTTCAATGAGTATACACAAGTTCGACTTGAATTGATTGCTTTTGTTCATTGATACAATAGAGTGGTTTTGTATTCTCTCTACTTGATTTACTTATTTATCCAAATTAACCAAAAAATTAGCAATATCCCTATTCATGGCAGTACTTAGCAAATCACTGAAAAGTTTGAATTTTGGTGCAAAGTTTTGTCAATTTTCTTTGGCATATAGTTGCTTTACTTTGATGTTGGTTCACCATTGATTGGATCCATAGGTAGTCAAGACTTGTGCATTTTCAACTAGCACAGTTCGTGATGTAGGACAACCAACAGCAGCCACTCACCCTCAGGTGCTTCCATTCATCTCTTTTATTTGTCCTCACAGACTTTAACTTCTGATGAAACGCATTGAACTTGTTTTCATTGTTGCAATTACTATTTACGGTGTAGTTATTGAAGGAAGGCGAGATTACACCTGGCATAACTAGTGAGGAATATGTCTCTAGACGGAATAAACTATTGGAACTTCTTCCAGATAAGAGTTTAGCTATAATTGCATCTGCCCCTGTTAAGATGATGACTGATGTTGTGCCATACACGTTTCGGCAAGATGCTGACTATTTTTACATCACTGGCTGCCAACAACCAGGTGGCATTGCAGTTTTAGGTCATGAATGTGGGTTATGCATGTTCATGCCACAACCAAGTCCTGAGGTAAGCCAAAATTTGTCAGCTTATTATCCTGTTTATTTTTTAATATTGCTTCTTTTTTCATTATTCTTTATTTTTTCGGTTCTGTGCATGTTAGTGCATCAAGTCATCAACCACTTGAATACAGAATTACATGGGGATATCTCAAGACAGCATCACACTAAAACTTGCTAAAAGTAAAACCACAATCCTATTGCCCTTGACAACTTTTCTTAAGTGGATAGTGTGTGCTAATTTCTACACAGCTGATACCATAATACATAATACATGTATGCCTAACTGTGTGTTTTGAATTAGTTCCTTAAGAGTATTGAAAAGTCTCCCATGTCCTCTTGAATATCTAAGTTTGCTTTCCCAGCAGTTGCTTCTGATTTGATTTAATGTAAAATAAATTGTATGTTAACACTTCTTAGTTTTGAATGAAGCAGCTTTCTTTTATGAGTTTTAAACATGGTTATGGTATGACGCATACCAGAATTTACACAGTACCCACAACTAATAGTTCAATAAATATCTTTCAGGATGTTATTTGGCAAGGTGAGATTGCTGGAGTTGATGCAGCTCTAGGCACATTCAGGGCTAACATAGCATACCCAATGAGTACATTAAATAAGGTGAATGGATATCTTCCTTAAAGTAAGCTTACTATCATTGAGTTGCAACTAAAAATCTATTCATATTCAAAAGCATGTCAATTGCGAATAATGTGATATAATTTTTTGCATAAACATATCATGATGTTCAGGCCGAATCATACTCAATATTATTTCACTAAACTTTTCCAACATGATAAATTGTAACAAGGCATATAAATATATAAAAGTGGCAAATTGACATTAAGACATGAACCATTGATCTAGGGTTAATTTTTTTGTTTGATCTTGCTAATCACAAAATGTTATTCAAAGAAATACGTTATTGGTAGCTTTCTCTGCATATGAGGCCATGATCTGTACTATAGTGGCCCATGGTTAAATGCTTCAAGGGATTCCCCACGACTGCTTATTTTTTCGTAAATTCCTTCTGAATTGACACCCATATGAGGATATTAGACGGAGTAAAATAATAGAGGCAGCAGTCAGAAGACATAAACTTTGTTTATTGCAGTTTCACATTATGTTTCTGTTAGAGGTCAAGGGCTCTGCAATTGCTTGGCTTGTACTCTTATTCGTGCACACCTTAAACTTACTGGTTTAAATTGGACTTGCTGATGAAAGCTCTTTCCGCTTTATACATTATTTTTCAAGTTTTTTTTGTTCAAAAATTGTGGTCAGATTCTTCCAAGGATGATAGAAAGCTCTTCCCAGCTGTTTCATAATGTGAAGACAGCAAGTGCCAGTTATGTGGGTTTGGATGCCTTTCAAAAAGCATCTTCCAATGGTAAAGTGAAAGATTTGTCAGTGCATACTCATGAAGCACGATGGGTGAAATCACCAGCAGAACTTAACTTGATGAGAAATTCTGCATCTATAGCTTGTCAGGTACTTGTTTTTACAGTGCATATTAGATTTGCTGCTAGTTTCTCAACATTGAATTACAGCTTCTGACTACGTCACTATTCTCACAGTGTAAAACAAGGCTATGCAAATTCAAGGGTACAGTAGCGCTTAATCGTTACATTTTATGATGAAAGTCAGATTCACATGAAACTGTAACATTATCATACTTATAAAAAAAAATATATATATATTTTACAAAAAAAATGATGACAAACTAAGCCTTATTTGAGCAAGCTGATGAGTTAAAATATTCTTGTCTAAAATACTTGACAGCAGAACGACTAAAAACTAAGGCTTGTTTGTGGGTAAAATCAAATAGTCTGATAAAATATTTCCATAACATTTGCAACTGTTTATACTTATTAAAAAAAAAAAACATTTGCAACTGTTTATATCAATCTCGAAGGTAATGTCAATGGACAATGATAAATAAATTTTGCGTTTTTTTGCATTTTACCCACAAAGTGGTATGCATGTAGGTCGTGATGTGCCTTGAGATGGCCGTTCCTGTCCCAATTCTCTAGCAAATACAACTCTTTTGATCATTTCTTCGCATGTACCTGCAGTAGCATTCAAGTAATGCCCTTTGATTTAACCTGTTTCAGCCATATTTACTCTTTTTGGTTCCAATTAATGCTTCAATAGGTTTCCTAATTTCATAATTAACCATGGAGGCATCAAAATTTTCTATTTATTAATTAATGATTGAAGGACCCTGAAGGACAACTATTGATTTGCATGTGTATATAGATGGTTATGCGGGGTTGAAAAGTGAGAGCCCTTTATAGACACACCACACACACACACAGAGACAGTATATCAATCTAATATGCAATTTGTGGAGGAAGAAGATAATGATTTGCTGCGTCTTATAGGGTATGAGCTTCAGATTTTATGCAACTGAAGCTTCATTGAAACTCATGGAAGAATATGAAATAATGTATGTAGTACTGACATGGCAAGAAACCTTAAGTTCCAAGAGCATTAGTGATGTCTTCAAAAAACGTGATGTTATTGACATCCATCTTCATCTCTTCCTCCGTGCAATTACATTTTTTTTCTTGATAGGGACTTAAAAACTTCAACTTTGGGCTAACTTATGGGTCATGAACATGCTCTATCACCTGGTTTTTTGTAAAACCTGCTTAGGATGCCATATTTAAGCCATTCAATATTTTGAAAGGTCTAAGACAGCAAGACTTTTAAAAGTATGCTTGGGAAGTATTTATAAACGGTTTAAATTATAAATAGACAGACATGAGTGGTGGATAAGTGAGTTGTACTTGTGGTCACTTGAAATATGTAGATAAAAGTGTCTTGAGTGTTTTTAAATGGTTTATAAACAAGAGCCAAACAGAGGCTTAATAACAAAAATTCTGGTTCACCTGAGTGCAACCGAGTTAACTAGCAATATGGAGAATAATAATAGAAATATTGATTTTATCCTTTCATTTGGCTACGCTGCACATGAAAGGGGGGTTTTATATGTTCAATATTTATATGCTTATTCATATATATATTTCTTTTGGATAGGCTCTTCTACTGACAATGCTGCATTCGAAGTCATTTCCTAATGAGGGTATGCTGTCAGCTAAAGTGGAATATGAATGCAAGATGAGAGGTGCTGAAAGAATGGCGTAAGCTTTCCTTCTTGACATACTTCTGTAAGATAGATAGGGAAAGAATACAATGGTAATCAAAATTGCATTTAGAGGGATGATATTTTACATAAAGTATGTATCTTTGAAGCAAAAAATCATAGAATTTATATTGGTAAATATCTGTGAGTTGATTATTGTTTTTATACATCCATTCTTAGTGATTGGAATTTACTGGTGAGGACAAATTGATATAATATAGTCCATCTATATATGCACAAGCAATTATTGATTTCCAGATTCATTTTTCTCTTCTCCAGGTTCAACCCTGTGGTTGGTGGGGGCTGTAATGGCAGTGTCATACATTATGCTCGAAATGATCAGAGAGTGAGTTCAATTTGTCTCTTCTTATGTGTAATATTCATGCAGCTAACTAGGTCATCTGGATGCATATTAACAGATTGAAGTTGGTGACCTTGTTCTGATGGACATTGGATGTGAGCTCCATGGTTATGCTAGTGATCTTACTCGTACATGGTCACCTTGCGGCAGATTTTCTGCAGCTCAGGTATCTATTCTAAGTTAGTATCTTCTGATATCTTCATTATGATTTACCAGATGGAGTTTAATTCCCAAATGGTAAGTGTAAATAAGACTGATTTGAACTCAAGTAGATGGCACCTCTGAGGAATAGAGTCTTATAAAAAGGTATAGATTCTCACCATGAGAAAACTCTTTTTTATCCCCTCCGCATGAATTAGACAACCTGAACATTTGAAAATTGACTGAATGAAAGGAGGAGGATCTTCCATAAAAACTGGCAACACTTTTCACAGGTAACATGCTAGCTTGCATAAAATAATATGTACATTTGGTGCCAGGATTAATAAACAGACATCAACATGATGAAATTATCATTATTAGCATCTTTCTATAGCTAATCTGTGTTGATTTACTAATTCTCTTTGATGATCCTTTTACGGAAATAAGGAAGGATGTTGGATCAGCTTAATACCCCCAAAAGTTAAGTACAACCATTTGATCTAGATGTATTGTTAGAATCCTTTGTAGGTGATGTATCCAATTCATTAGGATTTCACTCAAACAATTCTTATGAGAGTAATGAAGCTACTTACTGCTTAAGTTTTGGAATTCCATCATTGAAATGGAAATCGAGAGTTTCCCCCTTCTTAATTGCCTCTACTCTCCTATTTCTAGATGTCCTTATTTTGTGTCCTTATTTTAAGATTCTTATTTGCACTTGGATTATGAAAAAAATTTGCTCTGCGTTTTGCATATTTCAGGAAGAACTGTATAATCTTATTTTGGAGACTAATCAGGAATGTTTGAGGCTCGTAAAACCAGGCACAAGCATTCGAGAAATACACAATTATTCGGTCAGTTACCATTTGGATTTATAAAACTGAAGTGGAATTTTGTTAAATATTTCTTAGTGAAATATCATGCTACTATTGATTTTTGTGAATTGGATAATGCAGATAACAGTTTATACATGGATGATTGATCATAGTTAGACTTAGGAGTTGTGATATATTTGCATGCAATATGGATCTGAAGTACTTTGCAACTTCTGTTCATTACATATTCTCTTGGCTGAAATAGGTTAACAAGCTGCGCAGAGGATTTAAAGAAATTGGAATACTGAAGGACAATCGACCTCGGAGTTATCATTTGCTAAACCCAACTAATATAGGTTCTGACTGTTCTGGATCATCAACTGGTCTTTACTTTTGTTACTTATAAAATTGGCATTCATGTTAATCAAACCATAATATTTATGGTCTGATTTCCAATGTTCATTATATCATCAAGGGCACTATCTTGGTATGGATGTCCATGATTGCTCTACAATCAGCTATGACCGTACTCTGAAGCCAGGAGTTGTAAGTTTTCTACCTTGCTGTTAATTATTCTTATGCTTCTGCTGATAATCTTGGATAATTCATGATAATGCATTGTCTATAAAATTGAAGTTTCTATGACTATCTGTTAAACTGGTTTGCACAATTTACCTGCATAGGCTGCATTCTCTGCCCTTCTGAAGTCTTACTAACATCCTATTGTTTTATCAATTTTTTGTCTTGTGTGCTATCCTATGCTTAGAAGAACCTGCTTTGGCAAATTTTTAAATTAAGACAGATGTTTTAGATGGCCTCATAATTATAGGAATTATTCATGGCAGGTTCTGTGCAAAACTTATTTTAAGCTGGAGTTCTTCTCATAACCCGTTGTCTGCGTTTTTTATGAATTGGCTGTTTTATATGGATAACTTATATTGTGGTCTTTTATAAACATTGACTCATAAGCCACTTTTCATCTTTTCTTCGCTTTCTTATTTCTTTTTCTGCTGTATGTAATTTATTGTAACTTTTGCAAAGCACAGGTAATCACAATTGAACCTGGAGTCTACATCCCTTCTGATTTTGATGGTCCAGAGAGGTATTTCGATAACATTTCCAAATTAATCTTGGTTACATGGAAATATTCTATTCCAAAATTATCTTAGGCTGCCAAACCTTTTTGACTTTGGGAAAATATTCGAAGGATTGCATCTTCCTCTGTAAATCTACTAGTTAGCCCCTGCGACGTTGCATGAATTTATTCGTTTCATATTATTCTTTGCTTTAATAATTTTGTCTTCTGGAAAGTTTCTTTCACCAATAATCTAGGTTCAATTGAGCAAGCTTTTGTTTATGGAAAGGGGTTTAAAATATTTTCTTATGTCAATTTGATGAAATTCTTTTAGAGGGTGGGCCTGGGACAACAGAGCTGGATGTCACAGGCTTGAGTCTCGGTGAAAGCTTCCTTGCTAAAGGGAAGGCGATGTAAATCTAACTTCACAGACTCCACAGTGACGGGAACCCCATAAATTTGATACAGCCCCTTTAAATTTTTTGATTTTTTAAGTAGTAATTATAAAATTTAAGCCATATCTTGAAGTCTCTGTATGCAATATGTAAACCCCTCACCTCCCATTCAACTGTGTACCACAGAAAATTAACAGTCTCTGATAAACCAAAAAGTAAACAGAATTATTTTCATGTTTCTCTAATATGATAGAACTAGTTCATTTTGAGTTCTATCAATCCCCCAACACGACTTTCTTCTGTCCCCCCAATATTTTGATGTGATTCCTTGAAGACAAAAGGCTTGCTTTTCCCTTCCACTCGAGTAGCATCCTTGCAATTCCTTTGAGCCACAAAGTTTTTCTCCTTTCATCCATGGATTGAACAGACCAGCATTGTTTATATGAGTCGATTTAGTTATCCATATTGAACTAATATATCTGTGGGATGTAAATGCAGGTACCGAGGCATTGGGATAAGGATAGAAGATGAAGTTCTCATCACAGAATCAGGATACGAGGTAGGGATCTAGTGAATGTTTGAAACTATTCAAACGTTAAAGAGAATACCATCTAAAGTAATTTCTTAACACTTTGCATTGAGAGATTTCATTTTTGATGGCGGCTTCAAGTATGATACTCCAAATCTAAAATTCCTTGTGGCTGAATAGGTACTGACAGGATCAATCCCAAAAGAAATTAAGCACATAGAGTCCTTGCTCAACAGCTTCAGTAATAGGATGCCAATGGACACATATAACGTTGTTAGAGCGACTTCCGGTTGAGAATCTCAACAAATCCAAAACAGGACTACGGTAATCATATTTTAAATCGTGAGAACGACTTCCAGTCGAGGTATTTATTTAGCCCTTTCACTTTTGAGCAGTTTGTTATACATTCTTCATTTGGAAGCTTCAGCCCTCTTGATATATTCTACGCAATATCAATACAGTTCATCAATATGAATTATTTTTCAGCCTCATTTTTCTTTTGAAAATATTGACTTGTTCTCGCAATTGATGGACTCACCTAGGATTTGTAAGCACTACTTTTTGGTCAAGTGTACTATCAAAATCGTGGATTATCGAGTACCATATACCATACTTGTTTCTTAGATGAGTGTTGATCTTGAAATCCAATTTGTCAAGATAGGTTTAATGGATTTGTAAGTGTGGATGACAAGTTCTTGCTAAACATGTCACATCGGTGTGTTCAAAACTTAACATTGAGCCAAAGAAGATCACATGTAGTACAAGTTTCTATAGATTGAGCGAGATGTGATAAAATTAAAAATATTTAAAAAAATTAAAAAAATCTATTATTGTTTGGATGTTTTAAGAAGAAAAGTTTTAAATAATAATAATAATAATAAATTACTTACATGTTACTTCGAATGACTTCTAGGTGAATAACTTTTTAGTACTCACTTCTCCAATCATTTTCACTCACGTGGGAAGCTAATGAAGCCAGTCCATGTTCCAGCAGAATGTGTTTCTACATTTTCGGTTTCTGTATTAGTCAAAGCTTTTTTTTAAGAATTCAATCACTGTGGGTTTGGGGATGATAATGTTTGGTTAGATCGACCATTAAGTTTGTTTTAAATGACACTCCTCAATTGCCATTCGCCATGTTCAATTGTTTACTCTTGTATAACGAGAAAATTCTAAATTTGGAGAGCCATCATTTTCCACAATTGTGAGAACCTTTAGATATCTTTCTTTTACTAAAATTGTTTAATTGTACATCTTAGCAAGCTATTCAAGTAACTAGAAATCTATCTGATGAGGACATCATCTATTTTATTTATTTCTAGTTGGACTTTATTTATGTTTTAGATTCTATTTATGTAATTGGGCTGTATTGGCCCAAACCCATTTTAGTTAGGGTTTTATTTTTACTATTTAAACCTAATTTGTCCGGTAATTCTTTAGTTTTTAATGAATTGAAGAATATTTTGGTGGTTTGTTGTTTATAGCTTCTCATTCCTCTTCCTTCCTCTCTCTTCCATGAATTTCTGCTTCTTCTCCGATTTCTTCCCCCCATTCTCTCCGGTTCTCTCACCTTTCTTGCTTCTTCTTTCTATTCTTTAATTCATCATGCATCAAATTTGGTATCAGAGCCGGAACTTGGGTAATCTCTCATCTCCAATCCAAAACTTTCTTCCCATACTCTTCCCAAAAAAAAAAAAAAAGAAAGGCAAAAAAAAAAAAAAAAAATTTGGGGAAAACAAAAAAAAAAAAAAAAAAAAAAATTGTTGTGAGGCAGTAGTTTTCTTGTTCAATTTTCTTTCTAGTTGATTTTAAAAAAAAAAAAAAGATAGTTATTGTTCACAGGTACTGTTCACACCTAGAATTTCAGTTTTTTTAGATATTTTCCTGCAGTTTAAAAAAAAAAAAAAAAGAATTGTTCACACGCAAAAATTTCAGTTTAGGTTTTTTTCCGCAATTTCAGTTTCACCCACAAAAATAAAAATCTCGTTCGCTGCAGTTTCTTCTCTACAATTGTAGTATTGTTCCACAAATTCCAACCCTAGCATTCAGTCGTACTTACACAAGACCCAATTTCGTTTAGCCCAATTAACTCAACCTACTCTCTACGACACAAGCCCACTCCCAAAACACTAACTTGAGCTGGCCCATCTCTATAAGACGATCCAAACCCCTTCCCATCTAGCCCAGTCCCACATATTCGACCAAACCCGATTATAACCAATCCATTAATATCAAATAGTCCCACAGTTTCACCCGATTCCTCTCTCACAACCACTCTCGTGTCGCCGCCGCCTCTAATCACCACCACACTACTACTTCATTATCTATTGGAACCAGGCATCCAACGCACTACTGCTTCATCGCCACATGCCACCACCACCAACCCAAGATCATACACTTCCACCACAGTTACCGTACTCATATATTTCCCCGTCCATCTCAACAATCTAAAAGCCACAGTCACCATACTTAGTTTTACGTCCACACCAAAACCAGCACAAGTTACAGTCAACAGGGGTTAAAACCATTGGACATGAAGGGAAGAACAGAAGCATAGTTGGGGCTCTTAAATCGGCAATTCAGATCAATCGACATATAGATAGTCACACCCAAACAACTGGGAGTCCTTGAACCCTTTTTATTATTGGTTTATACTACTACTTTATTTTAAAAATTGCATCAATTAAAATTTGTGCTGCTGTTATATCATAAATTTTATCTTTACACCACTTGATTGGAATTGTTGACTGAATAATTTCCTACGTTACCCTGCTTACCCCACGGGGTTAAAGATTTTGATTCGTCATTTGTATTCTTGCCTTTTATTTTATTCGAATCAGCATTATTAGCTTGTTACATTTGGATTAACATAACCACAAATTCTAATTTTCAAAAAAAAAAATAAAAATGCTCAAGTTGTTACTTATCATTGTTTGCACTTATTGTTCATTGATCTCTCTCTATTGCACGTCATTTAGCTGCTAGTACAGTGCATGCATAGTGGTCGACTGGTCGTCTTGTTACTCCTCGTTTCAGTACCTAGACATGGACTCTTCACAATTTGAGGCACTCACTAGACAATTAGCTCAACTTGTCACTAGCCAGCAACACTTACAAACTCAATTAGCCGTTTTCCAAATCGAGATAGCTGCTACTCGTCAAAAGAGTAGAGATCTAGTTGCTAGTCTGAACAATTTTAAGCTAATCCGAACAATTTTAAGCTAATCCCTCATTCGATTGATGTTCATAATTCTAAAGCGTCCCACAATAAACAATATTGTCGTCGACAAAGTGATCAAAAATATTTTCAATACAATCATAAGGAAAGTTCTTTTAGAGACAATAAATTAGACATTCCTACTTTTGATGGTTGCCTAGATTTTGAAGTTTATACTCAATGGACTGCTCTTAAACAAGGGAATCGGTTAGTGACCGACTATATTGCACAATTTGAGGAATTTTGAACCAAATGTCATGTCATTGAGGATGAGATCACGACTTTGAGTAGGTTTAGCCAAGCTCTAAGAGATGATCTTATGCGTGAGCTTTTCTTTCGAGGAGTCACTATTCTTGATCACGCTTATTCTTTAACCAGAGATTATGAGTTAACTATTAGTACTCTATATGAAAAGCGCGATCACCATCATTCACCCATGTCATTAGCGCCACCTTGTCATAAGCCCATCATAGAGCCTTCCTCGTCTAATGTTCATCCCATTTGGGAAAATAAATGTAAAGGTCATGATATCCCAAGACCTTCTTCTTCGTATCGAAGGCGTAGTGACATTCCCCCTTTCGTCTCATCAACACCACCTTCTCCTGTTAAGCCGCTTCTAGGTCCTCCCCCATCTAATGCTCCTCTGTTGGACAATAAAGGTCAAGATTTTGAAACTTCAATAACTTCTTCTCATTTGCAGTACTTCAACTATAAGGACTTCTGAATGTTCTAATCGAGCCTTATTCATTGAAGAACCAAAGAAAATGAGAGATGAGTGATTAGAAAATCAAATCTATAGACCTAAACTTGAAGAATTTGATGAATTGGATGACAGTGAGGACACCCCTTTAGATAATATTTGGACTTTTCTTATAAGTCTAGGTATTGTACCCCTTGTTCTCGATACCTCTTAGTCAAATGTTGTGTACCCTACTCTTATCCCATCCAAAGGTATTGATGATTTGTGTAATCATGTTCTTTGCAAGAAACTCTTGGAAATTGGAATTTGATCCTTCCAACTGTTCAAATTGCATATAACAATTCTGAAAATCGGTCTCTAGGCCTAAATCCATTTGAAGTTGTTCATAGTTATAAGTCTAGGCGGCCGTTAGATCTTATTCCCATGTCCCCGCATGCTAGTGTGTCGTCGTCAGTTGAAACATTTGTATTTTATCTTCATGACTTGCATATCGAAATCAATAAATAACTTGAAGCAAGTAATGCATCATATAAACTTCGAGCTGATTTGTATAAGCGAAATTTTGAATTTCATATCAGGGATTTTGTTATATTACAAGCATGCAATGCTGGTCCTTGTAAAATTTTAAAGCATGTTGGTTCAAATACATATGTCATTAACCTGTCATCACATTTTGGCTATCATTCTACTCTAAATATTGAGGACTTCATTACTTGCAAACACCATTTTACTTCACTTGATGATCCATTTTTACTTAGCTTTGTGGGCCCCCAACTTGACTATATTGATATTTCTACTTCAATACCATCCGTCACGGCACACAAAGATAAAATTGATGTTATTTTAGATGAATGTGTTGTATTGATCAATGATGGCAGGATTCAGTACTTTCTTGTTTATTGGGTAGATCAACGTGCTTCTTATGCTCTTCATTATGTACAATCATGTGAAAATTTTGAAGGTGAGGTGCATGAATATTGATTATTTGGAGTCCAGTATCGGTACTTGGTTAGAAGGAAAGACCGCCCCCCTTGACCATATCATATTCTTGGAAATAAACTACAGTTTTTAGTACTATCAATCATGAAATTTCGGTACTTGGTTTGTCAGAAACATCGTCTCCCATGGCTTGACTTGAAGCATTTGGAGTTTCAGATTGATTACAGTCTACAGTGATCTTTCAACTCGACAGGGTTGAGTTTTTCTCCCACCCAGGAGAGTTGATAAAAACATCATCTATTTTATTTATTTCTAATTGGATTTTATTTATGTTTTAGATTCTATTTATGTAATTGGGCTTGTATTGGCTTAAGCTCATTCTACTTATGGTTTTATTTTTACTATTTAAACCTAATTTGCCTGGTAATTTTCTTTAGTTTTTGATGAATTGAAGAATATTTTGGTGATTTGTTGCCTATAGCTTCTCCTTCCTCTCCCTTCCCCTCTTCCCCATGAATTTCTGCTGGTTCTCCGATTTCTTCCCCCCCATTTTCTTCGGTTCTTCCCTCTTTCTTGCTTCTTCTTTCTATTCTTTAATTCGTCCTACATCACTATCAGTATTGGCTGAAGCAGAAAAACTCATTCTCAGATGCTACTAGAAAGAAAATAATCCCAAGGGAACTAACCCTATATATGTAAGTAGCTAAAAATTTAATAACATGTACCTCCTAGAAAAACTCATTCTTCAGGCCAGTGACAACAATGTTATTCTTTTGGGAAAATTGTCCGGAAGAAGTTAACCCAAGATATCCTTCACGAGTCTTAATTTGGGGTTTCTTGAACAAAAGAAGAGATTTTGAAATCTCTTTTATATTCTGTATCAAGTAAGGAAACTTGCTAATGCACAGTATGCGTAAAGATTGTTGGTCTACTGTCTTTTAGAATAATAAGGAAATTTTGAAACTTCTAATTTATAACTTATTCATACCATGATCATAGTAGAACTAGAGCGAACAAGAACAGATAAAACACCAAATTACACTTCCTTCACTTCAACAGCTGGTTTTACCTCAGCATGTTGTTAAACTTCGTTAACCTCCTCCATCTCCTCCTCGACCGCAAAAGCTTCCACTGGAAAACACCGGGATAGCCCAGTCGGAGTCTTGAAGGTGATTTTTCCGTTAGGCGGATCGTTGACATATACGTCACTAGGAGTCATCCAAATGAATAGCTACTCAGTCTTGACACCAGTAAGTTTCTTGATTTTGTTTGGCTCAACATAGACTGTGATCTCAGTTGCATATTGAACAACTCTTATCAATTTTTTCAAATTTATGCTCAGTTTTCTTCTTCTGTTTGAGCCAAACAAAACCTGTTTCTTTCACATAGCCACACTCTTCCATGTCTTTTAANCCCACAAAAATAAAAATCTCGTTCGCTGCAGTTTCTTCTCTACAATTGTAGTATTGTTCCACAAATTCCAACCCTAGCATTCAATCGTACTTACACAAGACCCAATTTCGTTTAGCCCAATTAACTCAACCTACTCTCTACGACACAAGCCCACTCCTAAAACACTAACTTGAGCTGGCCCATCTCTATAAGACGATCCAAACCCCTTCCTATCTAGCCCAGTCCCACATATTCGACCAAACCCGATTATAACCAATCCATTAATATCAAATAGTCCCACAGTTTCACCCGATTCCTCTCTCACAACCACTCTCGTGTCGCCGCCGCCTCTAATCACCACCACACTACTACTTCATTATCTATTGTAACCAGGCATCCAACGCACTACTACTTCATCGCCACATGCCACCACTACCAACCCAAGATCATACACTTCCACCACAGTTACCGTACTCATATATTTCCCCGTCCATCTCAACAATCTAAAAGCCACAGTCACCATACTTAGTTTTACGTCCACACCAAAACCAGCACAAGTTATAGTCAACAGGGGCTAAAACCATTGGACATGAAGGGAAGAACAGAAGCATAGTTGGGGCTCTTAAATCGGCAATTCAGATCAATCGACATACAGATAGTCACACCCAAACAACTGGGAGTCCTTGAACCCTTTTTATTATTGGTTTATACTACTACTTTATTTTAAAAATTGCATCAATTAAAATTTGTGCTGCTGTTATATCATAAATTTTATCTTTACACCACTTGATTGGAATTGTTGACTGAATAATTTCCTACGTTACCCTGCTTACCCCACGGGGTTAAAGATTTTGATTCGTCATTTGTATTCTTGCCTTTTATTTTATTCGAATCAGCATTATTAGCTTGTTACATTTGGATTAACATAACCACAAATTCTAATTTTCAAAAAAAAAAAAAATGCTCAAGTTGTTACTTATCATTGTTTGCACTTATTGTTCATTGATCTCTCTCTATTGCACGTCATTTAGCTGCTAGTACAGTGCATGCATAGTGGTCGACTGGTCGTCTTGTTACTCCTCGTTTCAGTACCTAGACACGGACTCTTCACAATTTGAGGCACTCACTAGACAATTAGCTCAACTTGTCACTAGCCAGCAACACTTACAAACTCAATTAGCCGTTTTCCAAATCGAGATAGCTGCTACTCGTCAAAAGAGTAGAGATCTAGTTGCTAGTCTGAACAATTTTAAGCTAATCCGAACAATTTTAAGCTAATCCCTCATTCGATTGATGTTCATAATTCTAAAGCGTCCCACAATAAACAATATTGTCGTCGACAAGGTGATCAAAAATATTTTCAATACGATCATAAGGAAAGTTCTTTTAGAGACAATAAATTAGACATTCCTACTTTTGATGGTTGCCTAGATTTTGAAGTTTATACTCAATGGACTGCTCTTAAACAAGGGAATCGGTTAGTGACCGACTATATTGCACAATTTGAGGAATTTTGAACCAAATGTCATGTCATTGAGGATGAGATCACGACTTTGAGTAGGTTTAGCCAAGCTCTAAGAGATGATCTTATGCGTGAGCTTTTCTTTCGAGGAGTCTCTATTCTTGATCATGCTTATTCTTTAACCAGAGATTATGAGTTAACTATTAGTACTCTATATGAAAAGGAATTTTGAACCAAATGTCATGTCATTGAGGATGAGATCACGACTTTGAGTAGGTTTAGCCAAGCTCTAAGAGATGATCTTATGCGTGAGCTTTTCTTTCGAGGAGTCACTATTCTTGATCACGCTTATTCTTTAACCAGAGATTATGAGTTAACTATTAGTACTCTATATGAAAAGCGCGATCACCATCATTCACCCATGTCATTAGCGCCACCTTGTCATAAGCCCATCATAGAGCCTTCCTCGTCTAATGTTCATCCCATTTGGGAAAATAAATGTAAAGGTCATGATATCCCAAGACCTTCTTCTTCGTATCGAAGGCGTAGTGACATTCCCCCTTTCGTCTCATCAACACCACCTTCTCCTGTTAAGCCGCTTCTAGGTCCTCGCCCATCTAATGCTCCTCTGTTGGACAATGAAGGTCAAGATTTTGAAACTTCAATAACTTCTTCTCATTTGCAGTACTTCAACTATAAGGACTTTGGCCACATCTCTTCTGAATGTTCTAATCGAGCCTTATTCATTGAAGAACAAAAGAAAATGAGAGATGAGTGATTAGAAAATCAAATCTATAGACCTAAACTTGAAGAATTTGATGAATTGGATGACAGTGAGGACACCCCTTTAGATAATATTTGGACTTTTCTTATAAGTCTAGGTATTGTACCCCTTGTTCTCGATACCTCTTAGTCAAATGTTGTGTATCCTACTCTTATCCCACCCAAAGGTATTGATGATTTGTGTAATCATGTTCTTTGCAAGAAACTCTTGGAAATTGGAATTTGATCCTTCCAACTGTTCAAATTGCATATAACAATTCTGAAAATTGGTCTCTAGGCCTAAATCCATTTGAAGTTGTTCATAATTATAAGTCTAGGCGGCCGTTAGATCTTATTCCCATGTCCCCGCATGCTAGTGTGTCGTCGTCAGTTGAAACATTTGTATTTTATCTTCATGACTTGCATACCGAGATCAATAAATAACTTGAAGCAAGTAATGCATCATATAAACTTCGAGCTGATTTGTATAAGCGAAATTTTGAATTTCATATCAGGGATTTTGTTATATTACAAGCATGCAGTGCTGGTCTTTGTAAAATTTTAAAGCATGTTGGTTCAAATACATATGTCATTAACCTCTCATCACATTTTGGCTATCATTCTACTCTAAATATTGAGGACTTCATTACTTGCAAACACCATTTTACTTCACTTGATGATCCATTTTTACTTAGCTTTGTGGGCCCCCAACTTGACTATATTGATATTTCTACTTCAATACCATCCGTCACGGCACACAAAGATAAAATTGATGTTATTTTAGATGAATGTGTTGTATTGATCAATGATGGCAGGATTCAGTACTTTCTTGTTTATTGGGTAGATCAACGTGCTTCTTATGCTCTTCATTATGTACAATCATGTGAAAATTTTGAAGGTGAGGTGCATGAATATTGATTATTTGGAGTCCAGTATCGGTACTTGGTTAGAAGGAAAGACCGCCCCCCTTGACCATATCATATTCTTGGAAATAAACTACAGTTTTTAGTACTATCAATCATGAAATTTCGGTACTTGGTTTGTCAGAAACATCGTCTCCCATGGCTTGACTTGAAGCATTTGGAGTTTCAGATTGATTACAGTCTACAGTGATCTTTCAACTCGACAGGGTTGAGTTTTTCTCCCACCCAGGAGAGTTGATAAAAACATCATCTATTTTATTTATTTCTAGTTGGATTTTATTTATGTTTTAGATTCTATTTATGTAATTGGGCTTGTATTGGCTTAAGCTCATTCTACTTATGGTTTTATTTTTACTATTTAAACCTAATTTGCCTGGTAATTTTCTTTAGTTTTTGATGAATTGAAGAATATTTTGGTGATTTGTTGCCTATAGCTTCTCCTTCCTCTCCCTTCCCCTCTTCCCCATGAATTTCTGCTGGTTCTCCGATTTCTTCCCCCCCATTTTCTTCGGTTCTTCCCTCTTTCTTGCTTCTTCTTTCTATTCTTTAATTCGTCCTACATCACTATCAGTATTGGCTGAAGCAGAAAAACTCATTCTCAGATGCTACTAGAAAGAAAATAATCCCAAGGGAACTAACCCTATATATGTAAGTAGCTAAAAATTTAATAACATGTACCTCCTAGAAAAACTCATTCTTCAGGCCAGTGACAACAATGTTATTCTTTTGGGAAAATTGTCCGGAAGAAGTTAACCCAAGATATCCTTCACGAGTCTTAATTTGGGGTTTCTTGAACAAAAGAAGAGATTTTGAAATCTCTTTTATATTCTGTATCAAGTAAGGAAACTTGCTAATGCACAGTATGCGTAAAGATTGTTGGTCTACTGTCTTTTAGAATAATAAGGAAATTTTGAAACTTCTAATTTATAACTTATTCATACCATGATCATAGTAGAACTAGAGCGAACAAGAACAGATAAAACACCAAATTACACTTCCTTCACTTCAACAGCTGGTTTTACCTCAGCATGTTGTTAAACTTCGTTAACCTCCTCCATCTCCTCCTCGACCGCAAAAGCTTCCACTGGAAAACACCGGGATAGCCCAGTCGGAGTCTTGAAGGTGATTTTTCCGTTAGGCGGATCGTTGACATATACGTCACTAGGAGTCATCCAAATGAATAGCTACTCAGTCTTGACACCAGTAAGTTTCTTGATTTTGTTTGGCTCAACATAGGCTGTGATCTCAGTTGCATATTGAACAACTCTTATCAATTTTTTCGAATTTATGCTCAGTTTTCTTCTTCTGTTTGAGCCAAACAAAACCTGTTTCTTTCACATAGCCACACTCTTCCATGTCTTTTAATGGCAAAAGGCCATTTGGCAACCCCATTTCTTTCAGTAAGATTTTTTATTTCGCTTGACAGATATCATCTCCTTTGTATATTTCTGATGCACTTGCTCTAATCTCATCAGTAATTAAAGACATTTTTCTGGATTTATTTATTTTTATTATTATTTTGTGGGGGTGGGTGTTCAACTTTGGTTTGATCAATCAAGAAACGACATTTGTTTGTCGGGTGGAATGGAGGGAGATGGAAGTGGTGATAATATAGGTTGGAACCTAGAAACTTGCCCTTGGATTTGGTGTCTAATTGTCAATGTACTACCTTGTTTAATTTGAAAAAATTGTGGACACATACCTATCAGCTTTCTTATGGCCTAGTTGACGCTTGTATAAACCTACTTTTAGGGCATTAATTATTAGGGTATTCATAGTCTGTTGGACGAGGTTAAAAATACTATGATACATAGCTCAACCGCTAGACAACTGAAGCAGTTGCCTAAGGTCCCGAATTAAGAAA